TGGGGGTGAGATGGCTAACGGAGCAGAAGGCTGCTCAAGGCTGAGATGCCCCAGGGGATGGTGTGAACCCCATGCAGCCATGGCAGTGCAGAGACTGGTCAGTGTGGACTGCCAGAACTGCCCACATGAATTAGCCCAGGTGGAGGTCCTCATCGACCTAACAGGCAGTGTCCACGGGGCAAGGGCTCTTCCCACTCCATCTGAGCGCACAAAGCAAGCATTGGGCCAGGCAGTCTGAGGCTGAATCTCTCTTATGGATCCTCAGCCGGTCTAAAGACCTCGCCATCCCTCACAGATTACCCTTACACAGTCCTGGGTGAAATCCTACAACTGCTAAAGTACAGATGGGAAACTGAAGCATGGGAGGACCACAAGCCATGTTCTCAGTAGGATGCAGACACCTCATTTCCAAGTATTTCAAAGGAAATTAGGTACTTTGGTGCCTTTAGGGATCTTGACTTAGGTATTGTGCCCATTGTCTCACAGGACAGAACTGAAGTCAGGTCTTCTAAAGCCCTGTGGTCTAAACTATTGGAGCATCCTTAAATTTTGGGGAACAAGTAAGAAATTTAGTCTCCAGAGTCTAAAGTTGATCATTTTCTCCAACACTTCTTAAGAAAGCCTATTCTAGAAATAATAAAAGTATTTCCCTTGTGAGACACTATTTGGTATCCAGCAGAGACAGAAAATAGGAGGTTACTCTTCTGTCTTTGCGAAGTCATGTGTGTTGAGAAAAAAAGGGCTGAGAAGCTGAAGCATTTGGCTGCTTTCGCAGTTTTGATCAACCAGGGAATTCCTCAAATGAGAATGCGTGAGGGTAAAAGCTGCCACCAGTTTAGCTCCATGCCAGTGCTGTTTCCAGCCCTACAGGGAGAGAAGACTTTGAAAAGATTTTGAAAAATAATAGTTCTTAATAATGAAAACCTTCAGACCTTGGAGCTGCCTCAAACTAAGGGCTTGATCCAGCATTGAGGCAAAGTCTGTGCAAAGACTCCTCCTGCTCTCCTGAGAGTCTGATAACTCCCCAAGAAGCGCCAAGGAAATCCTCAGCATTTCCAGATTATGACTGTCACCTCCAATATGTCAACATACATCATCCCCGCACCTCATCAATATTGCCTAAGGTCCTACTGATATCAGGCTTGTAAACTCATATTATCTGACCCACAACTCCTGCAATTTATTGCTGAAGGATGCAGCTGATTTGGAGCCCTCTGGGCATGCCAGAGCTGTAGACTCGCCGGGGTTGCACTCGGGACAATTCCAATCTGCATTAAGCATATGACAAATGGGGAAATTGAAATGAGACCATTTATTTTTTTTCAGTGTGAAGAAATGTTAAGCCCTCGAGTTCCTTCTGGTTCTGCTGGTCTCAGCATTCCCAGTGCTGTTAAAACCCTGGTGTGAGACACTCCAAACCCACTGCCAGCCTCACCCCAGCTGGATCACATTTACTAACGCTAAGCCTGCTAGTCTGATCAGAGCTCTCAGAAGATGTAGTAGCACTTAGATAAAATAGCAGATCAATGTTAATGAAGACCTTCCTCCACAGATTAAAAAAAAATTAGCAAAGGTGATAATATGATAGATAGAAGAGAGTCTATGAAATTACTATTTCATACTGCAATGGTATGAAAAGTGAATAATTTATCCATCTGCTTTGGAAGTCAAAGCCCAGGCTCTGTAGAGAGTAAAAACAGCACTGAAGTCCATCCACATTAATTCTGAGTACATTTTCAATTTTGATTTCCCTTGTATCTTAAGCTACAACACTTGATCCCAACAACAGCAGGTTGAATGCATTAGGAAGGAATGTTATTGTATAAGCAATCCCTCTACTGGCTGAAACATCAGAGGGTCATGGAAACATCTTTAAATGTCACTCCTTTCTGAGTATATTTTTGGTATTCTGGTCACAAAGCTGGGCTTGAAGCCTCATGGATTCAATTTGGAGGCTGATAATCAATCATGCAATCAAAAGCCCACGATTAGCACGCAGGCCATTCTTTTTTAAATGCCTGCGCAAAAGGCATAAGCATGCGTGGTTTCACGTGCTGCATGAAGCAACGGGGTTGTTTCACAGAAGAAAATAAGAGACAGAATGAGGGAGGTCTTTTCCCAGAAGAACCCCTTCAGACCATCAATCAGGAAAGCCTACGCAGAGATGATGAGGGCCATCCCTGCCCTCGAGTTGAGTGTGACACGCACAGCCGTGGCTGGGCTCCTCCCTGAGGGTGTCCTCCCTGCAGCCCTGTCCCCAGGTGCCCATGGAAAGGGAGGACAGAAGGTGCCGGGTTAGCCCCTCTGTGCTGTGGACGGAGCAGTCACCTTGGTCTCTGCCCTACGCTTTCCTGGAAAGGAAAAACTGTCTCAGTCTCCACTGGGGACTTCACCCAGACACAGGGACTGGAGCCACAGTGCGCAAAGCCCTTAGGTTGCCTGGCCCAGCTGTCATCCCAGGTTGATCCAGCTGAACATCCTGGGAAGATCCTTGAGCCACGCGGCGCAGCTGGCAGCAAAGGCAGAGTGGGCAGCTGCGGGCAGAGGCGTGCTCAGGGCAGCCCAGATGTGCATCACAGAGGCAGATGGGTTTCCACACGCGGAGATTTATGACTTACTGAAAAGCCCCCAGTTTGATGGCTGCTTTTTCATTTCCTACAAATCTAATTACAGGGGAACAGAACTGATTGTGAACATATTTGGGGAATAGGCTTGTTGCTGTCTTTTTACATTTCCTTTGTAGTAGAAAGCAGTATGTTGGCTGAAAACATTCACACACCCTCTTGAGAAAACACATCAAATGCCAACAGGAATGGAATAGCAATGGAAGAGCCTAATCCTGCACATGCTCCAGGTAGCAGGTCTTCCTCCAGCCTGCAGTTACTCAGTGGGTTATTCCCCATAACTGCAGACTACGCATGCACATAGGTGACTGCAGAGGAAAGCTCTAGTACAGGAAGACTCAGGTCTTGTCCACACAGACCTACAGATCTACAACGAAGCATACAGGGCTTTTACTAGGTCAGACAGGTGACCATAGCAGGGCTCAGCACAACCCAACCCTCTTCCTCTAGATCCCATTTAACCACACCACCTCAATACAGAAACTTGCATTCCACAGTTTGGAGATGGGAAATCAATCCTTCTTATACCCAAAGCGATCCAGATTATTTTGTAGGTTTTCTTAACATGGGTCAAAAATCAGCCAAAACAGAAGAGCAGAGCAGATCTACTGAACCAGCAATCCGGCAGAAACTGCCCCCAGAAACTACAGTTGGCATGGAGATGCTGGGGGACACATGAAGAAGAAAAAGTCCGAATTGGAGTTGCATAGGAAGACAGTCTAGTCATATGGTCAGGGAGCTGAACCACACCAGTGGCGCTATCTGTTCAGATGAAAATGATTAAAAGCAGCTTTCATCCTAAAACTCACCAGGCACAACATACACATAGCCCCATTTATCGGAATGTCTTTCATAGCTGTTGAGAATATCTGAAAGATACAGGTATAGGCATGGCCATTGTTATTTAGACTTATTATTCACACAGGGGTAGTGAAACAACATTTTCTGTCGCAAGCAGGGCCCTATTTTTCTGTTCTGAAAGAGAAAATCCTGACTCAAAGTGAACCTTTTATGAAGGAAGCAGCAGTAAGATATGACAGGCACACAAAGATGCTTTGAGCAGGAAGGTTTATTAGCTGCTGCATAACAAGAGCAGCAACAATGGTATTAAAGAGGGACTGCATTTAGCATGGAGAGAAACCTTCATGCCTTGGGCAGAGGACAAAACAGATCTCTGTCTAGAAGAAGCTGGTCCTTGGGCAGGTTCTTGTCAGAGGGGTGCCCGGCTCTGGAGCACAGGATACTGCCTGCTGTCAGGGATGGGGGACCAAGTTAGCAGGACAATTGCTTTCATCTCATCTGGGCAATTTTCAAAGTAAATATCTCTGTAAAATTAATGAGGAATTGAGGGAAAAAATCTTCTTTGCATTCTAGGTTAAGCAACAGTTTAGTCTCTGCTTCCTTAAAAATGATCTGCCACCTGCTACTAATTTCGTTCTTTGTTACGAAAGCCATTGACTGCCTGAAGGAAAGGGGGAGAAGAAGCTGTTAAGCTGCACTTTACACGGAGCAAATGAGAACACAAATAGCAGGGGATGTGTGTTTTAACGAGCAAAAGAGGCATTGATCAGTTTACTACTGCACTTGGGGCTGGTCCCAAAACACAGCGAGCGCCCGGAGCTCCTCGCGGCTCTGCAGGACCTGCAGACGCTCCCTGCCTGCGGAGCAGCAGGAGGCTGGGCACTACGCTGGCGACAGACACCGTGCCCTTGTCTCGCCTGCCCCTTCCCTTGCACGAATGCTGCTGCTTGCGGGAGAGGCTCAGCTCCTGCTTTGGCACACACACCCTACGCTCCTTTCAGTCTTCTTCACCCTCTGCTTACCTTAAGGGCCGCAGAGTCCTCAGCAGTCTCAAAACTCGTAGCATCCCCAGGATTTTTGTGCCGCTGTCTGACACCATTGAGACCAGGATGTCGATGACGGAGATGAGAACCAGCACCCCATCCAGCACGTTCCAGCTGCTTTTCAAGTAGGCTTTCTCCCCAAAACACAAGCCTAGTGCCACCACCTGCCCGGACACCAAGTTGCAACAAATTATGACTCTTGCATCCAATATGTTTCTTCCAGTTAGCAACCTGCTGAGAACGCATTATTTACAGATACAAGTCTGCGAGTCCATTTGCTTCCCAGTACAGAAGCCTAATTAGACAAATCAGCAAAGTGTTACATTGCCAGAATTATAAAAATACCTCTGCAGAAACATCCCAGATTGTCCCTTAGAGCTGATACATTTTTAATGCAGCTAAACCTAGCTCCACAAAACTGTTCCTAACATGCTTACTTCTAGCATAAAAAGTCTGATCATATTTTATTCCTACAGACTGCCAGAGTAAAGGTTCAGAGTGGCTGACCCAAAGCAATCATTTACAAGCTTTGCAAATAAAGAAACTAGAGAAACTTTCCAAAGAAAGAGCAATTGTTCTGCGAGATGATTATGAATTACACAAGAGAGATTTACAGCAATGGGTTTCTGAGCCTCCTGCCTCAAATCCAGCAAAATGTTTCAACGTGCTTAAGTCGCTCCCTCCTCAGGAAAGCACATAGCTGCTTAGGTTGTTGAGGACAATTGGTTGTTGAAGACAATGAGACTTACCTGCGTGGCTGAAGTTCAGCATGTGTTCAAGAGCTTTGCTGAATAGGAAAGGATTGCTGAATTGAAGCATCCCTTTGCTCACATAATGGTGTAAAATCAAGAGCAACTTCACTTAAATTGTTCTGATGTAAAACGTGCTCAGAATAAGGCATGTGGTGGGTATTTGAATATCATTCAGAAGAGGAAAATATACACTTCGCTCATAGCTGGTAGACCTAGGGGTTTTTTGAGTCCACAGTAATAAAATATCACTGATACAATACAGGCACACTTATCCTCCAGCTACATTTACCTTAACTGTCATCTCAGTCAGGAAGATAACTGTAAAGATGTAGTTGGAGAGCGTTAGGAAAATCCGTTCCTATAAAAAAGAAAATGAGAGACCATGTTTCATAGCCTGCTCTCCACAGCTGTACGTCTCCCTGTGCATATTTGGGCAGTTGCTAACTGTTCTCCAGCTTCTGTGCTGAAATAACTCTCGGACTGTTTGCTCACAAAGAGGAGAAAATCCAAATATTTAGACAATAACCCTCTGCGGGGCTCAGCGCTGGCAGCGGCCGGGTC